ATACGTAGCGATGCAGACAGAAGCGTGTACAGTATGAGCCAATCAGTGGCAGTAATGACAGAGCATGCGCTGTTAACGCAAAAACTGATAAGTGAAGCCGCTGAAGTCGAAGCGCGAAGTGGCGAGGGTTCACTGTATAGTCCTCTTTCCCAGGGGTCCGTAAAATATTTAAAGTCTCCCAACATCCTCCTTAAAGAGTAGCCAGGTAGACTTCATTAAGAAACATTGTGATTGGCGGTTGCCAAGTAATCTTTTACTTACAGATTCTTGTGGACTCTTTATTGGTATGGATTTGTTTTGATTTCTTGTGGTGTTTTACTTAATTCTTCTCTTTCTCTTGGGGCTAGGCACTAATTAGAAGGTATGCCAAAGGCTTTTGACAAAAATACATTATGGATAGTTTTATAGAAGGCTGTGTTAGGTTCTTTCATTGTTATTGATGCCAATTTAATAACTTGGTCAAAGATAAATGTTACACCTCTTCTGTGGAAGATGTTCTTTTTTCCTTTGCAGATAATTAATATGTGAATGATTCTGTAAATACTTTGTTATGCATCCTTTGAATATACCCTGTGAATAGCTTGGTCTTTTTTTTTTTTAATCATTTTATTGGGGACTCATATAACTCATCACAATCCATACATCCATCCATTGTGTGTCAAGCACATTTGTACATTTGTTGCCCTCATCATTCTCAAAACATTTGCTTTCCACTTGAGCCCTTGGTATCAACTCATTTTTCCCCCTCCCTCCCCACTCCTCCTGAATACTTAGTATTTATAGAACTGGCGCCAGTCATCTACAGCTGTTGATTAGGCCCTAGCTAAGACTAAGGTTGTTATTTACATTTTTAAAGGGTTGTAATAAAGGAAATCATGGCTCAAGACCATATGCAGATCACAAAAATTAAGATATTTACTCCCTAACCCTTTAGAGAAAATGGTTCCTAAGTCCAACGTTAGGTGATTGTTTTCCTGAGTCAATTTTTCATTGTAAGATTCAGAATGGGTATTTTTCTAATTCTATCATCTTGTTTCCGTCTATCAGCTGTCACAAACAGAGATGAGCATTTTTTTCTCCTTTGCCAGGAGTTCTGTTTCTTAAAAGTATTTTTATGATCTTGTGGCCTTTCATTTTTCAACTTGTTTATCTTTAATCATTTTTGTTTTGATCCTTTAGTTACTCAGATGTGGGCAGTGGGAATTCTTTCAAGCTGACTATATTCCCCATTAGATTTTTAGCACTTTTTTCCTTTCTCATATAAGATGTCCCATTTTGCCAAGTTGTAAACTTGCCTGTGTTTTCTGAAGTGGCTCTGATCCTGGAAGGGGGAAGTAAGCATCAAAAAAGCAGTAGAAACCTGCTGTCTCACATTTTTATCATCTAGAATGAGAAAGCAGACATAGTGAATGAAATTTGTAGGAAACTTGGAGATTAGAGGGTTCCCCCCCCCTCATACAGCTTGCATAGCAAAAATAAATACATAAAACACTATGCCGGACGTGATACTGTGAATTATTTTCTTTATCATATGCTAGAAATAAAATGTAATCTAATATGAGAGAAAAATTATCTTACTTCAGTTTTAAATATCTCATGTATTATGTAGAAGGAAGGTCTAGTGTGGAACTATATCTATAGAAACTCACACCCATTGCCCTTGAACACAAATGGGAAATTATTTGTGTTGTATTCCTTTTTTTCCTAGTTCTGGGTATCGTTTTTCCTATTTTAAAGTAACCTTAATAATCCTTTAAGTTGAATAAGTTTATTAAGATTTTAGCAAATTTAAAGAACAAGTTTTGAAAACCTTGTGGCTTTATAAGATGCTGAGATGAGATACATTGGATGAATGTTTTTATCTAGAGTTGTGAAGAATTTGGTTTCTTAGTCTACTCTTTTTGAACTAATAATGGTAAATTATTTAAATTTACTTTATGTCAAAGAGGTACTATCCTAGTAATTATAATTTTTTTACAAATATTTGTTTAAAAAAAGTAAATATTTGTCGTGGATAAGATGAAATAGTTATTTGTAAAAACTAGGAAGAATTCATCAAGACAATACCTAGAGGTTTGCTTTAGCAGCACATAAAGTAAAATTGAAACGATATACAGAAAAGATTAGCAAGGCCCCTGTGCAGGGATGTCAGGCAAATTTGTGAAATGTTTTGTGTGTGTGTGTGTGTGTGTCCTAAGGCAATACCTATGTTGTTTTGAAAGATAAATTATGATTTTCAATTATTTGGCAGTGCTCCATAATGTTATCTATGAAATATAACCTGATACTTTAGAACTTGTTTAAATAAGCTTTTTTTTTTGTTCCTGTGTCTTTTGAAAGCTGGATTATTGCAGCCCCCTGTCCGTATAGTTTCACAGCCACAACCAGCACGAAGGTTAGACCCCCCATCCAGATTTTCTGGAAGGAATGACAGGGGGGATCAAGTACCTAACAGAAAAGATGACCGAAGGTATGTTAAAGTCTCTATTGTGGCCATTTGTTTTTGTTACCATTACACTTTATTTATTAAAGAACTCTTCCATGTTGCCAAGAAATGTTAGTAATTTAAATTTTTTTTCTTTTAAGTCGTGAAAGAGAGAGAGAAAGACGGAGATCCAGAGAAAGATCTCCTCAGAGAAAGCGTTCGAGGGAGAGATCACCCCGGAGAGAGAGAGAGAGATCACCTCGGAGAGTTCGACGTGTTGTTCCACGTTACACAGTTCAGTTTTCTAAGTTCTCTTTAGATTGGTAGGTTCTTTTTCTTCCTTTTGTTTTTATTGATTACTGATTTCATAGTTTGTAATACAAATACAGCCTTTGCCATTAGAAATCATGTTCATGTTATTAAGAATTACTGAGCCTCATCCACAAAGTAGAGATACTTTTGAACCAGCACAATTATTGTAAGGATAAATTGAGTTGCTGTCTATTGTTAAAATTTTAAGCACTTGATGGCATCAGGTTGTGGTGATTCACTTCTGATGCATAAATTGGGCAAACTGGTAAATAGTTTACTCTAAGGGAAAGTTAGAAGAACCTATTATCGCTGGGACTGTATAAAATAAATCAGCAGGTGGAAAAACCAAGAATAGCTTTAAACCAAAAATACCACCTGAAGTTGTCTTAAAATCAATCAATAGCTAACTATTTAAAAACTGCGCTTGAGTGTTGTGTTCGTTTAAGAACTGTATCTGCTCACAGTCAAAACGGCAGCTAGAAAAGTGACAGTGGAGTGGTAGGGTGGATTGGAGGGGATTATGTTAATGGGGGAAGAGTGACTCAAGTGAAGGAGCTACAACTTGAAAGTTATTACAGGAAAAGTTGAATTTGTGTTTATTTTGTTATGTGCATTCTCAACAGAAAATATGTTTTTTAAATCAAGCAGGAATAATTAATAGTAAAATAAGAAAAGTGACACACCAAAAGGAGCTTAGAGTAGAAGCAAGTGCTACATATACTTCATTGAACTTGAGAATTAGCTTTAGTATTTTGACCAAATTTAATAATTCAGTTCCTATCTACCAAAAATTAAAATTTATCTGTAGTCAATTATAGTGTTATTCCAGGACAGAAACTCAAAATCAAACTCATTGCTGTTGAGTCAATTCCTGCTCCTAGAGACTGGATAGGTCAGAGTAGAGCTGCTCTTAGGGTTTGCAACAGTGTTAACCTCTCCAAGAGTAGAAAATTTAATCTTTCTCCTTTGAGTATCTGTTGGTTTTGAACTGCTGACCTTGTGGTTAGCAGCCCAACTTGGAACTCATTTTGCTACCAGAACTACTCCTAGAACACAGTGTATTTTATTTTAGCCTTAAGAGAGGAAGGATGCTTCAGTGGTAGAACTCTGGGTTCTTTCCCAGGCAGTGTCACTCAGTCGTAGCCACCACTAGTTTGTCAGTGGTGGAACCTTCAGAGTTGAAATACAACTGAATATGAGTCAGCAGGTTCCAAACGCTAATGGACTAGGAAGAAAGGCCTGGCAACCTAGTTATGAAAAATAGCCCCTTAGATCACAATAGTCTGATTCTGCTATGAATGAACTTGTAGATCTGGAGTCAGTTTCATAGCAAATAACAATGCCAAGAAAATCTTGCCTTAAATTGTAGTCATGTTTCTTAAATACCATATATACTTGAGTATAAGCCAAGTTTCCCAGCACATTTTTTATGCAGTTTTTGTGGTTAAATTAGATGCCTCAGCTGATATTCAGGTTGGCTTATATATACTGAGTATATAGGTATATAGTTGGTGTTCATTTATTTTTGTTTAGGGTCAAATCATATATTATGCCAGTTTTTTTGTATCTGTGTTTACTAACATATCCAGTCTGCATATTTCAGACACCTTTGGGGACTAAAGCCAAAAATACGAGGGAGCTTCAGAAAGTTTGTAGAGAAATTCTATTATATTTTAAATCCATTTTACCGGGAATTTTTTGAAGCCTGTGTTTTAAATAGAGCAACTCTTCATTTAGCTTTTTTGTTGCCAGTCTGGAATTATTCTAAGAGGCTCTCGACCTCATAGCTCACCCCTTTGAAGTAAACGTGGTGATGTTTTCTTTGAAGAGAACACCAAATATACTCAGTGTAATAAATATTGTTTTAATGCTTTTTTAATCTTCTTTTGAGATAAAGAGGATACTTTTTCCTCGTGTAAAGAATTGCAATCTCAGAAGCCCACAGGGTAGTTCTGCCCTGCCCTGTAGGGCTGCTCTGAGTTGGAATTGACTGATGGCAATGAGTAGCAGTAATAAAACTTTACGTAGTTGGGGAAGTAAATATTTTCTTATAGTAATAGGTAGGATTTGCTTTATTATCAGTTTTTCTCCTGTTTGTGTATCTAACATTACTTTTAAATTTTTGGTCAGTTTTTTTTTTTTAACTATTATACACCCTTTCTTTTTGTAATGCTTTAAACTACCAGGAGGAACATAAAACTCAAGTACATTTTTTCACATCATTGTTTTTTTACATCAGAATCTTGTTCCAATAAAGTATACTAGCAACAATCACCAGCAATCATATCACTGTTAAGTTTACTATAGAGACAATCCTACATAGATTAGTTTTTGTTTCATATCACTATCTTTTAAACAGATGTTTAATCTGAAAAGTAGTTAGTGACTACTTTTAATTGTGTTTTTAAATGAAGTCTCTTGACTTCATCAGATTGATTTACCTTGAGTTAGTCTCCTTTAAAATTTCTCCTCAAGAAAAAGATAAATCATCTTTTAAAAATATTGATATGCCAGATGTAAAAGGCAAGAGACTTGTCTCCATTATAATAATCAGATTTGGCTCTCTGTTAATCACCTAAAAGGGTTTGGAAGTGTGGATAATCTTTAAAGCACTAGGGTTTTGCTTTCCCAAGGATTTTTATATTTAATTTTGAATGTGGCAGTTGGGGAAGTTTAGTAGAGAATAAAAGTTGTATTTTTTTCTACATCATTTAGGCCTGATTGAGCAGTACGCAAAAGATAATTTGCTACCACTCTCATCCCTCCTTTGTACTACCTATATGAACCATACTTGCTTAGATAGAGTTCCAGCTGGTGTAGAACTCCTTTGGTTCAGATCTTTTCTGGAGTCAGGGTTGAAGTTTATTTCATTTGAGAGGGTCTTTACTAATTGTTTGCCACACACAAAAAGTACTGGGAACTATTGGTAAACAAATCTCAAACTAAGGCTTTGGTTCATCTTTGCAAATGTCTGGCTCATTTATAACTGTCCATTTTCAGCTGACTTGTGTCCTGTTATTTTTAGCTTTATCACTAAATATGTTTGCATAAACGTTGGTATCAGGCTGTCATTTAGTCACTATTCCTGTCTGTTTTTCAGTCCTAGTTGTGACATGATGGAACTGAGGCGCCGTTATCAGAATTTATATATACCTAGTGACTTTTTTGATGCTCAGTTTACGTGGGTGGATGCTTTTCCTTTGTCAAGACCATTTCAGCTGGGAAATTACTGCAATTTTTATGTAATGCACAGAGAAGTAGAGTCCTTGGAAAAAAATGTGGCCATTCTTGATCCACCAGATGCTGACCACTTATACAGTGCAAAGGTTTGTATTCCACTGTGAAATACAGCATACATTTCTTAGCATTTATTCAGAATGGGACAATTCTTCAGAAAAAATGTTAGATGTAGGACCTAATTCTTTCTCTCTCTCTTTTTTTTTCCTCTAAATTTACTTTGGGTACTTGGAGCCTAGTAACACAGTAGTTAAAGTGCTAGGCTGCCAACTGAGTGGTTTAAACCCACCAGCTGCTCCACAGAGGGTGATGTGGCATTTGCCGTCCATAAAAACTTAACAGCCTTGGAAACCCTGTGGGGCAGTTCTACTCTGTCCTTTATTATGGGGTCGCTAGGAGTTGGAATAGACTTGATGGCAGTGGATTTTTTTTATATACTTTGGTTATTTAAGTAATAGAACCTTTCTTTGCTTTAGCTCTTAAATTGTAAAACTAGTGCAGATTGAACCTCATAAAAATGTTAATATTTGTAAACTTTGGAAATTTTTGTGATCTTGTATACTCTGGACAAATATATTCAATACAGTTTCTGCTAAAGCACTTTACCTTCCATTTTAATAAAAGATTTCAAATATGTACTATGTAAGGATAATTAGTAGTGCTTCTCATTTTTTTACATTGCTTTAGACTTTTGACAGGATTGAATTATTTGACTATAATAGGTAATGCTGATGGCTAGCCCTAGTATGGAAGATCTGTATCATAAGTCATGTGCACTTGCTGAAGATCCTCAAGAACTTCGAGATGGGTTTCAACATCCCGCTAGACTTGTTAAGGTAAAATGAAACATTCATTTTTAACTTAACATTCTCTTTGCTTATTTGTAATTGCATATAAATAAAATGAAAAATATTATGTGTATAATCTTGTTTTATTAGTTGAATTTCTTTTAAGGCACTCTGAATGAAAAAGTTACTGGTTTATTGCAGATTATGGCTATTTATGTGTTGATGATTAAGGTGTCATTTGGTATGGGTAGCATGCTGAAATTTTAGTGCTTAGAGGATTTAGTATATCTTAAGGTGCTATTGCAGTTTGAATTATAGCTTGTTTCCTTCGAAAGAATTCTTAATCTGAAGAAATGCTTTTAGAAGGATGAGTTGTGATGTGTAAATCCTATTCCATTGCTGAACTGCAGTGTGGAAA